CAGTAAGCATTTTAGCAGTTACACCGGCGGGCCCCGGTGTAACTGCTATCCAACATGGAGTTTCAGTGTTGGATAGTCATAGCCAGCTAGCTAACATAGCATCCCTCTATTTGAGCAGGGTGTTTGAGTAGGCTAAACTAGCTAGCTGCATTTGCTAGCTGTGAAAGTGAAAAAAATGATGAAATATAGCTATCTCTCTCTCTCTCTTGCTCCTCCTTCATTTTTGAAGAAATGTATTTGTTCAAAACTGTTCAACTATTGTCTTTCTCTCTCTTTGAGTCAACTAATCACCACATTTTATGCACTGCAGTGCTAGCTACTGTAGCTGTAGCTTATGCTTTCAATTCTAGGTTCATTCTCTGATCCTTTGATTGGGTGGACAACATGTCAGTTCATACTGCAAGAGCTCCAATAGGTTGGAGGATGTCCTCTGGAAGTTGTCATAATTACTGTGTAAGTCTATGGAAGGGGGTGAGAACCATGAGCCTCCTAGGTTTTGCATTGAAGTCAATGTACCCAGACAGAAGTTAGCTGTTCTCCGGCTACACCATGGTTCTACCCTACAGAGTGCGGTTGAGGCTACTGTAGACCTTCATTGCAAAACAGTGTTTTATATTCATACCACTGGTATGAATATACAAATATTAAATCACACTTTCCACAAGGGACTGGATCCAACATAACATAGGCTAAAACATGTTCATCTGAACAGAGGCAACAGTTTGTATGTACCCCTCCAGATACACCTTATAGTGGCTCTAAATAAAGGAACTCAAGTTGTGAAAATAAGTACATAAACTCAGGTCTGTTTGCTAGCTGGGTTCCTTATGTAGGCTGACAATCATAATAAAAAACAGGTGAGGGCTGGAGCTGGTGATTGGTGCTGGATGTTGGCCATTCTTTTACGGCTTGGCAGCTGCATGTTGGTCCTGCACCCCCATTTCATCAAGACAAAAAGCTACTATTTTATACTCCAAGATGCTACAGTGGTTTAAGTGTGAATGTAAAAAAAAAAAGAGGTGAAATCAAATCCCTTCTGCAAACAGAAAAAGGTCTGAGATGACGTAGGGAGTGAGGGAGTGACTATATTCTGAAGTGGGTAAATTCTATTTGTAGCTTTTCTTGTTGTTTACACTCTGCACTCCAAACCCAAGAAACTAAATAAATATGTAGGCTTGGACGACCTGTTATGTCACTACAGTGGTATTTTTGTGTCTCTACTGTGCACTGAAAAAGCAAATGGGTGATATATTGTGTAGACTAACTTGTATAACTGTGTAGTGCACAGTATCTACAAAACCTTTCAACTGCATGCACACATTCACAATGCAGGTCTCCAGTCAGGATGCATGTTGTGCATGTCAAAAGAAGTAACCCGTAAACCAGTAAACCCAGAGAGGAGCTAACTGACGCAATTCTGCATGTTTGTAAGACATGTACTGTATACAGTACACAAGTGGCCAATTAATGACTACTAGTATAGTAACAATTATACTGCAGTGTTTTTGTTCCATATCATATGCTGCATTAGAGGTCATTACAGATGTTACAAACACAGGACATACATTCAGTACAGTAAAGAAAATTGATTTAATGAGATTCATAAATATATTTTAAAAAATAGTCTCATCATTTATTTGTACTCTGCTCCAGTCAATGACAGGAGGGCACCAATAAAGTGTACCAAGACATCAGACAACTATTTCGGGAGTTGCGGAACATTTTCATAGGGTTCTTTAGGGACAAACAGTAGGAGCATGAAAAGACTTCATAAAGAGTTGACTGGTTTACTATTGGAGTGCGAGGCTGTGGGGAAATACAGTTGCCACACTGGCAGTGGAAGTCTCTGTGTGGGATACCAACAAATAGGGCAAGTAAGAGAGAGGCTTGCCAACATCACAACTGGATGGGTGTGGAGGGAGAGTGATGAGGTTAGAGAAGGATGCTGATCCACTGTGTAGAGCTGCATGAGAAACTGATTCTAACTGTTATATTATCATGTTGTGAATAAAATTGTGTGTTTTAAATGGAAATTGTGAATGGTTTGTTGTTTGTTGCATTTCCTACTTCAGAATATGTACCCTATGGGTTGTAAATTATATGCGCCATGTTCTGAAGTGCAGGATTAGGGCTACTTCTGAATTGAGTTGCGAATTGCTCTTTAGTTCCAATAAAAATGTTGAATTTGAATTGAACACTCTTCGTAGGAAGCAGAATTTGAAATGATTTACTGTCATTCTTAAAAACGAATGTTAAGGGAATTCCGTGAGATGTTTCCTATCTATTGCATATGAAAGTGAATTGAAATTGTCACTTTTATAAATACCGCATTGTCATTATAAAGCCAGCAATGCAAAGATGATTATTCTCCTCAAACTAAACACAGCTAGAAACTACAGTATGTTAACATAATGATGATTAACTCTCTCAGGGAGTAAAGGAATGAGGCACTAACCGACACTACAAAAAATGTTCTGGAGTTACTGATTGTTGGCCCATAAACAGTACATCATATATGTCCACCCAGAAGTCAACCTCAGGAACAAGCTATAAAGCATGAGAATGAATGTACAAGTCATATTTAGAAAAATGCTCAGCTCTACACACTGGCTAATGTTTCTCTAGCGGTGAGCTGCATTGACATTTCAAACATACTTCAAAAACCTTATAATTACTGACTATATTTTACATAGCTCTATTGTACAATAAACCAACATTGAGTTCTCTCACTATAACTAGTAACATAAATTGTCATTAGGAGCTCAGGAGTTACAAAAATAAACATTATATGTATTCATTTCCTGTGAACAGCGTCCAGTATGGATCAATTGAAATGATTCTATAAAGACAAACTATCATGATTACACAGATCACTGGAGGCAGATTATTCATACTGTACTGTACTGTGCTGTACTATAATGTGTCAAATTTAAGAGGGTTATACTATAACAGCATTCATCTGATGGAACTGATTTCTACAAATTTTTACTCATTAGCAGGTACAATATTAGCTGTAGCTACAGATCTAATTTCACAAAACAGCACCTCTGAGATGATAATGTATTGATCCTTGTGTGGGTCTGTAACAGTGTGGTCTTTTCATATTGTGTAACACTCCTGCAGAAGTGAACAGTTGGCGTCTTTGCCAGTGGACGCCTCTGCAACACTGCCCTGTGAATTATGACAGCGTTCTGATGCATGCCTCTCCTTTCTGGAGAGCAGTGCAGAACTCAACGAGGCCATCAGCAGCTAGCTCTATATCAGCCCTGGTCCTCTTCCTGGAAAGTTTCTCTCAGTCCAGCCCCACTGGTCACTAAGCAGAATGGTGGTGATAGTGGGGGTTGTGTGTTAGAATGGGTCACCACTACAGTACAGTGTATACAGTTTATTAACCATATCTTTGCACTAGCAAAGGAGGCTAGAGTGAACTGTATATTTCTAAATAAAATAATTGTATGGGTAAAGGTCAATCTGTCTGCCATGTTAGATTCCCCTGTTTCTATTCCATATTGAAGTTTGTATGTACCACTTAGAGCTATAATATTCAACTATCTCTTCCTCTTTGTATGTTGACTGACCATAGGTAGTCTAACAAGAGCTTTTGACAAAATGTAGAGAATGCAGTGCATTATCTTAGATGTGATCTTGCCCCTTTAAAACAGCGACAGCATTAGTTAAAATGCGTTAATCAAAGCAAACTCCTTTCAGACTAAACTATTGAGGAAAATACACTGAATTTAAACTGGTTTCTAAATTTCAACCCCTTACATAAAGGATCCAACAGAGGGTATGTGTGCATGAGGGTATGTAAGGGTGACTGACAGAGTCCTTTCAGCTGGGGTTGACCACATCTGTGGCAGGCGTGGGGGAAATGCATCCAGGGAAGTGAGATTGAGATCAACACACACAAAGTCACTCTTTGTCTGCCCTACCTAGCACACAGCCAGTGGGCCCAAGTAGTTTAACAGAAGCACTTGCTCAGCTTTCATTCTTTACTGCTCCTGCCTGGAAAGGATTTCTGCTAATTCTGTTTTTGAAATATTGAATACGAGTGCCTGAATTCTACGGATAGATGAACATGTGTAGGGTTGCAAAATTCCAGGAACTTTCAATAAATTCCCTGGTTTTCCAGAAATCCTGGTTGGAGGCTACCATATTTCCTGCTTATAACCGACCGGGATTGGAGGCTTCCATATTTCCTGCTTATAACCAACCGGGATTTCGGGAAAACCTGGGAATGTATTGACATTTTGCAACCCTAAACATGTGTAATAGTTGTATAATGTATATACTGTATATTTTTATACCATGGCATTGTTGAATACTCCTTCCTGATTGGCTTGAAGGGCATTCTAGAGCGTAGAAATATGAAAAGCTTTATTACTGAATACCCCCAGGATTAGTAATGACTTACAAACAAATGTGAGCCTTACAAACAAATGTTGGATCCAGGACTGCAAGACAGTACCCTCTTGGCCATCCAGACAGAATAGCAGTATTATCCAGTACATTGATCGTGATTCTAACAACGTGAGGTAGTGCTTTATAAACTACATACCATACTGTATTATGAACAGCAGCAATCAATGGAGTACTGATATTTAAGGTTTTCTTGAAACATATAATGGCGATACTGTATGTTCAGCAAAAATACATGATATGAATGCTCTAACTTTTTCAGAATTTACCATTGATAACAATGATTTATTCATAAATGTAAATAAATAATGCATATTTCGGCTGTCTCACCCTTTTCGGTTCATGCTATGACATTTTCTGACACACTCCTGGCCAGCCAGGCTTGAACTGTAGACATCTTTGAATAAAGGCTATACAATTTTGTATCATGAAATACAACGCCTCAAAATGTATAAAATACTTACAAAAATATGCATACAAAATGAAAACAATACATTTGAAATATCATAGAATTAAAACATTTACCATGCATGCACATTCTATATTTTTCTGTTCTGATACAAATATCTATGAGAGATAGCTTTTTTTTTTTTTTTTACATTAAACTTATTTACAACATGTTATGTTATATACATCTAATAAGCAGGCTTAAAGATATGCATTTGAACAGTGTATATTTATATAAGTTGTGATCAGAGTGAAGTGAACAGCCTTGAGAAGCTGAGGTGCAGCTTAGCAAGAAAAGGAAACCATAAGCAATGTAATTACTGTCCGTGAAATGACTGGGTGTTAAATGACAAGTGCTCTTTTTCATTGCCAGTGTCCTTGCAATGTGAATTAAATGACTGCAAATACTCTGAATGCTTTGCCACTTGAGGGATTCTGTAGGCTGGGGGGAGAATGAACACTTGTGTTAGTTTGGATTCAGCTAAGAACAGTTTACACAGTCAAGCCAAGGTATATGACACTGATACTAGCCTATATCTCCATACTGTATCAGCAAAGGGAAGGAGTGTTTTCTGACCACAATAGCCGACCAGGAAAAACTCCTGGTCCCTAGCCATTATGCATCCAAAAGCATTTGGAACAAAGTCAAAACCCCACAATTGGCCTGTATTTCCCTTATCCACATCCCTTACCTTTCTGAAGAGATTCCGTTCTGATAGCTACCACTATACTGTCTCCTCTTGTCCACGGGTTGCACATCCAGGTAGCCTCCTGAGTCATTCTGAATTACACCAGCATGGATGGCTGCTCGACATATACTGGATTTCTAGAAAAAAAAGGTAGATTAGCATAGCACAAAGGTCAGTTCTATGAGAGAAATAAAATCTTGTATAGAAGGCCATTGTCAGCCAGACTTACATCCGAATAATATTGCGTTCCAATGACTCTGGCACGGGTCTCATGCAGACAATTGCGGGGGCAATACAACCTGGTGAAGGAAAATAGCTATGAAACACAGTAGTCTATAACTATCCAAACCAATCAACTTTACAGAAGAAGAGTATCACGTTTGGTTTATTAGATCTCCTCAATTTAAGGTAAGGTTTGTCCCTTGTATGATCTTTCTTTACCTTGGACAGTGCCGTGCAGGTTTTTTGTAGGGACAGAACCGTGCAACAGTGGTCTCACACGATACTGCCTTTACTGATAAGCAAAGATGCCACAATGTCATTCAAACAATACATGCATTATTGAGACAAAGGTGAAACTAGATCAGACATACCTGGTACAGAGAATACTTTGAAAGCATTTGCACTCCTGTTCATCCTGTAAATTTGAATAATTTGGTGTGAAACATGTGACTTGTTGCTTTAGCTTTATTATAAACAAACATAATAGAGTGAAGTTGCATCCCAAATGGCATCATATTCCCTATAAAGTGCAATTATTTTGACCTGAGCCCTATGGGCACTGGTCAAAAGTAGTGCACTACATAGGGAATTGGGTGCCATTTGGGACAAAGCTGTGTAAAATGTTAACTCACCCAAGAGACCGAATTCCATTTTTGTATGACTTTGTGAAATGTGGTTTTCTTCCTTGTCTTGTAACGTCCAGCCAGCCTCCATCATTGTCTATTAATCCAGCATGTAAACCAGCTCCACAAACACTTGATTGCTGAAAAATGAAACATGTTTCACTACTCTTTACATGCTATGAAAGTGACATGGCATTTTCCAGGAAGTATACTCTAAAAATGAGGGGTTCAACAAGGGTTCTTCTAAGATCAAAGTTATTCGAAGAACCTTAGGGTTCTTGGCACTGAAAATCACCCCCAAAGGGTTCTTCCAAGAACCCCATCGGAGGTAGGGTTAATCGAGGAACCTCCTTAGTTGGTGGGGGTTCTTGCAGGAACCTAACTGCCCAACTGAAACATTTGGATTTGAAAGGACAGCAGGTGTAGGCACTTAACTGATTTATTTTTATTTTTAGATCTCCTCAATTTAAGGTAAGGTTTGTCCCTTGTATGATCTAAATGTATATTGTTTTATGATGATACCATCTATCTTTTCGTATTTGTGTAAATCTTTCTAAAACAGAAAATGGGCACAATTCAATGGATATCAATCAACAAAGAGGTAAGAATATGTATGCTATAAAAAATATGTTGAAGGCTAGCTGTTTTGGGTGCAGATGAATGAACTGCTCACTTTTGTGTCTGTGTCTGCAGGTATACAGACGAGGAGGCATACAAAGATATGTCAATTGGTATTGCTATGTTATGCAGATCACATGTTCTAACCTCCCCCCTTACCTCTTCAATGAAAATCCCATAGGCCTCTACATTATGGACAAGGTATGTGTATGAAAATCATTATCAAAACAGTTTTTTTCATTCACATTTACCACAAAAACCAAGGTATGAATACTGTTGTGTGCATGTTTTGTTAAACATCTGTATAATTACTAGTTCAAAAATTAACCCCAAAAGGTTCTTCAAAAGGTTCTTTGAGGATCCATTAAAAGGGGTTATTTGAAGAACCCTTTAAAAGGGTTCTTCGAAGAACTTATAGGGGTTCCCCCACAGTTTCAATTCGAAGAACCGCTAAAGGATCCTCCAGGAACCTTTACTTTTTAGAGTGTAGCCTTGTAGTTTTCGAACTTTTGTAGGCTTTTTGAATGGTCATCAATGGGCAAAAATGTAGCCCAATGGTCTTCAGCACAAAAACGTCATAAAAGGCATCTGGCACAAGTAAATTCATCTACAAACACAAATATAATTTTAGACACATCTTAAAATTACAGTGTTTTCACAAATGATATGAACCCATTCAAAAGTTAGGGGACAGGACCCAGATGTATGACGTAGGATGACGTCACTTGCATAGTGTATAGAGGGCATGTTTTGGCTTTCCCTAATTATTTGAATTCGATAATAAGAATACATCAATAAAATGACTGAAGTTGTATCGTTATTTTATATCTAGTATCACACAACTCATGCAGTTGGAATACATTTGAAAAAATAATAAATAAAAAGTGTTTTCTGTTTGTACCATATCATAATACGCAGTCCCTATGACTTTTCCTGGGCTGGACAAGCATCCAGGAGGACACTCGTACCTGTAGGAAGAAATAACAGTTCAAACTCAGTTTTGACCCATTCACAGAATGAGTGAGAATGGGTAAAGTAGCGTAATTTGAAAATTAAAAGGTAATCTATGGCAATCTATAGTAACTTTGGTAATTTATAGTTGAATAACAAAACAAAAAATGTATTCATAAAGTTCCTTTTTTATATCTGTATCCATATTGTCCATGAGTTTCTAGTGGATAGACCATATGGTTCAAGATAAAATAGCCTAATTAATGAAACAAAAATCTAATCAACAATGGCATTATTTTCAATTAACTCTACAAATCAAATGTTATTTGTCACATGCTTCGTAAACAACAGGTATAGACTAACAGTGAAATGCTTACTTATGGGTCCTTTTTCAAAAATGCAGAGTTAAAGATAAAAATAAAACGAGGAATAAATACACAGTGAATAATGAATAACAATGACTAGTAAAAATAACATGGCTACAGTGAGGGAAAAAAGTATTTGATCTCCTGCTGATTTTGTACGTTTGCCCACTGAAAAAAAAACGATCAGTCTATAATTTTAATGGTAGGTTTATTTGAACAGTGAGAGACAGAATAACAACAAAACAATCCAGAAAAACGCATGTCAAAAATGTTATAAATTGATTTGCATTTTAATGAGGGAAATAAGTATTTGATCCCCTCTCAATCAGAAAGATTTCTGGCTCCCAGGTGTCTTTTATACAGGTAACGAGCTGAGATTAGGAGCACACTCTTAAAGGGAGTGCTTCTAATCTCAGCTTGTTACCTGTTTAAAAGACACCTGTCCACAGAAGCAATCAATCTATCAGATTCCAAACTCTCCACCATGGCCAAGACCAAAGAGCTCTCCAAGGATGTCAGGGACAAGATTGTAGACCTACACAAGGCTGGAATGGGCTACAAGACCATCGCTAAGCAGCTTGGTGAGAAGGTGACAACAGTTGGTGCGATTATTCGCAAATGGAAGAAACACAAAAGAACTGTCAATCTCCCTCGGCCTGGGGATCCATGCAAGATTTCACCTCGTGGAGTTGCAATGATCATGAGAACGGTGAGGAATCAGCCAGAACTACACGGGAGGATCTTGTCAATAATCTCAAGGCAGCTGGGACCATAGTCACCAAGAAAACAATTGGTAACACACTACGCCGTGAAGGACTGAAATCGTGCAGCGCCCGCAAGGTCACCCTGCTCAAGAAAGCACATATACAGGACCGTCTGAAGTTTGCCAATGAACATCTGAATGATTCAGAGGAGAACTAGGTGAAAGTGTTGTGGTCAGATGAGACAAAAATCGAGCTCTTTGGCATCAACTCAACTCACGTGTTTGGAGCAGGAGGAATGCTGCCTAAGACCCCAAGAACACCATCCCCACCGTCAAACATGGAGGTGGAAACATTATGCTAAGGGGGTGTTTTTCTGCTAAGGGGACAGGACAACTTCACCGTATCAAAGGGACGATGGACGGGGCCATGTACCGTCAAATCTTGGGTGAGAACTCCTTCCCTCAGCCAGGGCATTGAAAATGGGTCGTGGATGGGTATTCCAGCATGACAATGACCCAAAACACACGGCCAAGGCAACAAAGGAGTGGCTCAAGAAGAAGCACATTAAGGTCCTGGAGTGGCCTAGCCAGTCTCCAGACCTTAATCCCATAGAAAATCTGTGGAGGGAGCTGAAGGTTCGAGTTGCCAAACGTCAGCCTCGAAACCTTAATGACTTGGAGAAGATCTGCAAAGAGGAGTGGAACAAAATCCCTCCTGAGATGTGTGCAAACCTGGTGGCCAACTACAAGAAACATCTGACCTCTGTGATTGCCAACAAGGGTTTTGCCACCAAGTACTAAGTCATGTTTTGCAGAGGGGTCAAATACTTATTTCCCTCATTAAAATGCAAATCAATTTATAAAATTTGTGACATGCGTTTTTCTGGATTTTGTTGTTGTTATTCTGTCTCTCACTGTTCAAATAAACCTACCATTAAAAGTATAGACTGATCATGTCTTTGTCAGTGGGCAAACGTACAAAATCAGCAGGGGATCAAATACTTTTTTCCCCTCACTGTATATACAGGTACTATATACAGGTACTGAGTAACAGTACTGAGTCGATGTGCAGGGGTACGAGGTAATTGAGGTAGCTATGTACATATAGGTAGGATTAAAGTGACTAGGCAACAGGATAGATAAGACAGTAGCAGCAGCGGGTAGCCATTTGACTAGCTATTTAGCAGTCTTATGGCTTGGTGGTAGAAGCTGTTCAGGGTCCTATTGGTTCCAGACTTGGTGCACTGGTACCACTTGCCATGCGGTAGCAGAGAGAACAATCTATGGCTTGGGTGGCTGGAGTCTTTGACATTTTTTTGGGCCTTCCTCTGACACTGCCTGGTATAGAGGTCCTGGATGGCAGTGAGCTCGGCCGCAGTGATGTACTGGGCCATACTCACCACCCTCTGTAGCACCTTGCGGTTGGGTGCCTTATATTTGAGATTATTCAGTTCCCACATATGCTGAGCACTTGTTGGCTGCTTTTCCTTCACTCTGTCGTCCGACTCATCCCAAACCATCTCAATTGGGTTGAGGTCAGGGGATTGTGGAGGCCAGGTCATCTGATGCTACACTCCATCACTCTCCTTCTTGGTAAAATAGCCCTTACACAGCCTGGAGGTGTGTTGGGTCATTGTCCTGTTGAAAAACAAATGATAGTCCCACTAAGCCCAAACCAGATGGGATGGCATATCGCTGCAGAATGCTGTGGTAGCCATGCTGGTAAAGTGTGCCTTGAATTCTAAATAAATCACAGACAGTGTCACCAGCAAAGCACCCCCATACCATAACACCTCCTCCTCCATGCTTTACGGTGGGAACTACACATTCGGAGATCATCCGTTCACCCACACCGCGTTTGGAACCAAACATCTCCAATTTAGACTCCAGACCAAAGGACACATTTCCACCAGTCTAATGTCCATTGCTTGTGTTTCTTCGCCCAAGCAGGTCTCTTCTTATTATTGGTGTCCTTTAATAGTGGTTTCTTTGCATCAATTCGACCATGAAGGCCTGATTAACACAGTCCCCTCTGAACAGTTGATATTGAGATGTGTCTGTGACTTGAACTCTGTGAAGCATTTCTTTGGGCTGCAATTTCTGAGGCTGGTAACTCTAATGAAGTTATCCTCTGCAGCAGAGGTAACTCTGGGTCTTCCATTCCTGTGGCGGTCCTCATGAGAGCCAGTTTCATCATAGCGCTTGATGGTTTTTGCGACTGCACTAGAAGAAACTTTCAAAGTTCTTGAAATGTTCCGTATTGACTGGCCTTCATGTCTTAAAGTAATGATGGACTGTCATTTCTCTTTGCTTATTTGAGCTGTTCTTGCCATAATATTGACTTGGTCTTTTACCAAATAGGGCTATCTTCTGTATACCCCCCTACCTTGTCACAACACAACTGATTGGCTCGAACGCATTAAGAAGGAAAACATTTCCACAAATTAACTTATAAGATGACACACCTGTTATTTTAAATTTATTCCAGGTGACTACCTCATGAAGCTGGTTGAGAGAATGCAGAGAGTGTGCAAAGCTGTCATCAAGGCAAAGGGTGGCTATTTGAAGAACCTCAAATATAAGATATATTTTGATTTGTTTAACACTTTTTTGGGTACTACATTATTCCATATGTGTTATTTCATATTTTGATGTCTTCACTATTATTATACAGTGTAGAAAATAGTAAAAATAAAGAAAAACCCTTGAATGTGTGACCAGTCAAACTTTTGACTGGTAGTTTAGGTATTCCTTTTATCCGGGTGAGGGCAGTGTGAGTGCAATAGAGATGGCGTCATCTGTGGATCTGTTGGGACCCCTAACTATAAACTTTTTTCACAACTGCCACCAGTTTCGCACCAAAACATTGACAACCCCCCTTGCAACCCTAGGTAAGTGACAACATCCACTTTAGGAACAACTTAGACCTACCTATTACAAGTGGTTGCTTTACAACGATCACGCAGCTTTGTCTCACAGTCCATCTGTTGACCTTTGAAAATAAGAAAACCAATTTCACTTAGACCTTCTGGCAATGATACCAAATATAGACTTTTATGCTACTGTATATTGATATTGTGTTTTAGAAACAGTGTAAAATTAGTGATAAATACTTACACATTTGCACTGTGCTGACCACCTCATTCCTCTCTATGTTGTCATTGGGTGATGGTATTGGGGGTTGCTGTCCCGACTTTGGCTCTTGGGCCCTCGGCTCTGGCTGCGGCTCGATGTAGTTTGTCTCCTCTAGTTCAGGGGCAGGACGTCTCTGTACTCCGTTCTCTGAAGAAGAACAAGTGTCACATCACATGTAATATACTGTTTGCAAAACAAAATGCATAAAAGCAACCAATTTGTTTTGAACAACTTTCTTCTGAAAGCAGCCGACCTGTATAGCAGAGATTGTCCCTACAGCCTCCACCGTAGCTGGGCGGACAGGCAGAGCACGGGCGGCCATGTTTGTATGGGGCATGCCCCCACCAGTTTCCCCTGCACACAAATGACATCATAAAACACGCTGAACCTTTTGACCCAATCCCTCCCAGTTCCCATACACTACATAATTTACAGCAGTTGAAAATAAGAATCAGAACTTAATTATTTTTTTGGGGAAACAAACATAAGAACCATTAAAAAAAACGTTCAAACTTACGGCGGTGAGTAGTTGCAAACCAAGTACACAGCTTTAGTCCAAATCATGCCCCACACATTCATGTTGTAACACACATTGATAGCACATCCAATATGGCTGCTTGTTGCCCAAACCATCTGCAAAGACAAACAAAGTAGCTACCTTCAGTTAGTGGTCCTCTCAGACTTCTCTGGCCTTAAATAAGGTGTTGTGATATTGTTATAGGAAACTCTTACCTGTGTGTAGTGAGTGCAGACAGGACCAGAACATCTCAAGGGGCAGTGTGGGTTACACTCCTGTGGATAGGGATAGCTGTAGTCTCTCACTTCATCATACCAGGCCTGGACGTGAAATGTTGGTGGTCGGTCTCTGAGGAAAGTGGAAACTAAACAATTTAACTAACTAGGCCATGGTTTCCCAAACTCGGTCCTGGGGCCTCCCAGGGTTTCACATTTTGTTTTTTGCCCTAGTACTACACAGCTGATTCAAATAATCAAAGATTGATGATGAGTTGATTATTTGAGTCAGCTGTGTAGTGCTGGGGCAAAAACCAAAACGTGCACCCATGGGAAGCCCCGGGACCGAGTTTGGGAAACCCTAAACTAGACACAACCCATGGCAATATACAGTATCAGTATTCTCTGTACAGTCTAATCACACATTGGTTGCCTCATGAGTTATATGACCCCGCAACATGTTAGGAAATGGACATACAGTATTACTGTATAATGACATAATGCATATAATCAAACTGGTCATCTCTCCTTATACTATACAGACCTTCCCCAGTGGGCACCCAGGTTTTGTCCAATCTGAGTTAGCATGTGTTGTGGTCCATGCTCCCACAGGCAGGTGTGTGCCCAGTGCTCAGCACTCCTCTCCAGCTCCGTATCCCAAACCTTTGAAATGCCAAAGTCAGAGTTATTCTGATAAGATAAACATATATCTGCATGCACATCAGATTGGTGATAGTGCTACTGAGACTCTTAATACTGCTTATATTAGTGTTACTCTTGAAAGCCCAAACTCTTGATAAACAACAATTGTAAATGCTAATTCTAACATTCTTCACAGAAAGTCTTGGGGGCCTTGATGACATTTTTAGTATTACTGGTCTCCTTGCATCAACTGTCCACAGGGCACAGACGTCAATTCAATGTCTATTCTACGTTGGTTCAACGTGGAAACAACGTTGATTCTACCAGTGTGTGCCCAGTGGGTCTGCACTAAAGTGCAACAACCTACATGATACAGATCTTAACAGGTCAATTGAAGTTAAAAACTATAATCTATTTGTGCACCACTTGTTTCTGACAAAGAACTACGTAGATATGACTTGAGGAATGTTTCAGCCAAGCTGTAGTAAAATTGTCCATTAGAAGAATAGGTGTAGTGTGCTGTTGTTCTGCTGTTTAACTGCACTAACACCCATCAAGGTTAATAGAAAGATGTGCCATTCGGCTGCCCTGTACAGTCCTAATGTCTTCCATGTGTAGAACATTACATTAGTGATATCTGCATTCTGCACTGCTCAGGGTTAATGCAATGGGCTTGAGGCCAATTGACATGTTTGAGCGCAATGGACATACTGTAGGCCTGCAACAATATAATACTGTATATGCCATTTACCAGACACTTTTATCTAAAGCGACTTACAGTCATGCGTTCATACATTTTACATATGGGTGGTCCTGGGAATCGAACTGACAACCCTGGCAGTGCAAGCGCCATGCTTTACCATCTGAGCCACACAGGACCACAGTGTATCCACACAGGATACAAATCTCCATTTATGCATGGGAAATCGCCCAAATTATCCAAATGATGTTGGATATTTACATTAAGACATCAAAATGATGTCCTCTAAAAGGCAATGTTTTGTGTAACATTACATTTACAGTTAACCCCACCCATCTGCGTATAGTACTATACATTGCTTCCAGGAATCCTTCGAGGAAAACTGTATTTGAACAACCATACTTCAAAGGATGATGCTCAACTGTTAATCAATACAGATCCATCTTTGTTGCCAAATGAAATGCAAACATAAAGACTCATATTTGAAGATGTGAGTTGAAATGGTTGAGGCAGAGTGCACGATAACAGTGGAGGTGAGAGCTGGCCGGTGTCCAAGGCAGGGGGCAGAGCTTGAGGTTTGGCAGGGGCAGTAACACACTGGCTTTATTGCTTGGCTGTCGGTCAGGCTTGTTTTTAGGTTTTGATCTATTTGAGCACTATGTGCTCCCAGAGCTTGGTTTGAAACCTCTGAGTTGGCCCTGACTTTGCAGATGTGCTCTGCTGAACCCCATGGATGGTTGAATGGGTTTGAAAATGTTCCAGATTCTCAAGCCTAGATGTCTTGAGTCTTTGAGAAAGTATCACACATTAGCTAAGATGAAGTATCAGTGCAAAATAAGTAACTAACACTTGCTTCAATCTGTAGTACTGTACAATGTCCTTCTACCTTCTCCAGTATGGGCAAGTCATATTCCAATTGCCTACAGTTCATCTTAGAATGACCTAAATATAACAAAAATGTGTGATGCAGACACAGTAGGTCCTGGTTTAGCTTACCATATACTCCATATTTGAAGCTTGAGGATAAACTTGACCTCTCAGCTTGTTGTGCAAATCGAGTATGAGGTGCATATCACCCTCAGTGATGGCTCTCTTCCCTCGCTGTTTGGACACCCACCACTCGTCATCTTTGTTCATATAGTTCTCCAGTATCGCCTCCAGGTGAGTAGAGTTAGGGATAACCATAGAAAGTACTGTTTGGACAAAGAATAGCAGCCCAAACCCTCGCATCCAGACCTCAGTTACACACTTCATGATGATGATCAGCCTCTCAAGCCTCTGTGATTCACTCCAATACAAAAATCTGTATTCTGTTGGCTAAACAAGAGAAACAATTAAATACAATAGCTATGATGGTTGGTCAAGCATTCAGAGATCTTTATTCTTGTATACTATTTGTTATTGATTAAGAAATTCACTTGAATGCAAGTACTGATTAATTATCACATCTTTGGCACATGGATATTATACATTAGAATTAGAACTGTAATACTGTACATATATATTTGGTGTATTTTAGGTTTATGACAGTAGGTAAATTGCATTGTTCATACAATTTCTCACCAGGAAAATATGTATGTTTTTGCCAAGCACATGCAATATTTCATGACCATACATATTGCATGTGAAATTATTTCACAGGCTGACAAGGCAAGGCGTCAGCTCTGATCCTGTTATAGTCTAGTAAACCCGATCTACCATATTAGCGTTGATACATTGTGGGAGGCAACAAGTCTGCCTAGACAGGCTAATCCTGTTATAATACAAAACAGTATTTTCGTTATCCGAATGACGAATATAACATTTACAAATGATTTACCTTTTACCAAACACTGTTGTTCAATCTGGTCAACTATGCCCAGGAAACAATGCCCAGCTCCAAAAGTTTTATTGCAGCAGAATGCTCAACGAAAGCTACTCTTCTAACAGGACATCTCTCATAACAGGAGCCGAAACTTTCGTAATAAATACATTTGCCCCGGTAATTTATCGTACATCCACCAAGGAATCGAGATAGTTAACTGTATAATCATTCAAATACGAGCGCTCCCTGCATTTATATGCCAAATTTGGATTTAGCGATGCGTAACGCGGCAGACCACGCCTCCTCCACAGTGTTTCCAGGTTGAACTATTTAAAGACTCCGGTTCTGATTCCAGCCATCCCACTCAATGTGACTGCAAGGTATACTTTGGGCAATAAGAGCCCACTCATATGTAAATTAAGTATTTCTTTACAATATTATTTCTGTATTTTATGTTTGTTCGTAAGATGTGATTTTGTTCAACTATCACATTTACTGTGAGTTTAATTCAGTCTATTTGGCTGAATTATCTATTTCCAACCCCCCGAACATCGCTGTCCATGTTCTTACAAGCCTCGCTAGCATTGTGCCTGCATCCATGACACTAAGAGAAGTTGTGCGCTGTCCTCCTATAGTCCTACTCCCTGCCATTTTATTCAGCACAACCCCACTGAGCTCTGCAGATCAAATCAACGGTGTTCAAAACCATCAAAACTGATAAGGCTTTTTCCACTTCAGTCAGCATCAACCCAAGTTCCAGACACAAGCTCTTTTCCTCAGGTGGGTATATGAGTATTTTCACAGGAGAAAGGCTGGCATCCTCTGGGTAGAGGGCATGCTGTGCTCCCTGTGTTATGAGTGCATTCCTGGGCATCAGATTCTCAGCACCTTAAATCCTGCCTTCCTACTAAGACTTCTACAGGAATCAACCCACATGACCAAGAAATGTCAACTCAGCTGGAAATTAAGTCAGTGCCCAGCTAAGAGAGGTAACAAGTTGCTGTACAGTGCCACGGCTGCTTCCAGGTGACTGCATTGATGGAGTAACTTGTACAAGCAAATACATTTTGGGTGACTGAGTACCTTTGCCAATTTAAAGTTGCCTACTAGGGGAATTGGAATCGCATTGATAGTCCTCTTCAGTGATTTATAGCAGAAAGGCAGACACTCCCATGCTAGGGTTCAATTAGGTTCTAGCACTGCAAGACTCCAAGTCAGTGGGGAACCAGACAGGTCCAAGATAATTGGCTTATGGCTGGGCCTATACAAATGATCTGTGATGATGTTGACCAGGGACATCATTTTTCATCATATTTAGCAGTGTGCAGAACATTTCAGCAGGTAGTCGACATTGTGTCTAAGGAACTTTTTCCTATGTTGTTTTCCCTATTATTCCTCTCATTCCTTGTCTTTATAAGACGTACTTACATTCTTCACATAGGGACCTAGTTGAATATTCACAAAGGAATATTCCACTGCAGGCTGAGTTTACTTTGTCAGGCTCGCCCTCTGGTGTTTTTTTCCCCTCACTACTGCTAAAATCTCTGCTCATGCATTTGGACTTTCCAAACACTTTCTCTAGCAAGACATCAAGTTCATGATTCTTAAATACACTCAGTTACAGTATATACCAGTCTTTATTCTGTAACATTTGTAAAAGGCAATAGCAATTATATGGACACACAACAAAATGGAATTCAATGGTGTAAAAATATGTAGCATCCTGTAGGTAAAGTACATGTTATCAATGTTCTGGACAACCTTTCAGAAATATATACAAAAATATAGTAAATCTTTAATAAAACTATATTCATCACTGTTGACCATGCTACTGACATACACTACTGTGAGCTAGTCATTTGATCTAATACTCTTGTTATAATTATGAGGAAGTTTATTAACAGGTTACTCTTACCACTGCCTTATTGGAGGTATTTTTCTAGGTTTGACCTCTGTACCCAATAGTCGATCAAACGTCACCAACAAAAATAACATGATTGCTGATCAATACATTTGACCATTAATATGATGGTAAGACAGCAATACATTGTATGCTACAACATAATAATGTATGATACTCTCAAATTAACATATTCTCAAAACCAATTGTAACTGTATAAAAAGTACATTGTACATGTAAAGTATTTGAAAAAAATACATTTCACACTTGAAGCAATGTGAAATTATGATATATTACAATTCATTACAACAGCAGATATGTACATACTAGTTTACTTGAACCAGTACATGTAGTTTGACGTTATAGCTGGGAAACATTGGTTTTTACTACAGGAGCCTCCGTAGCTTGGGGGACATGCTGAACATGGGATGCCAACTCTGTAGGGAGGTTCTCCTATCCAGTTCCCACTGGAATATAAAGAGTAATACAATCGTTGTTATAGTTCAATGATGAAAAATATCTCAAATATCACACATATCCCTTTCCAATTTCAATTCATGGAGTTTTTCCCATATCACATATCTAAATCTGCATTGCTATACTTTATATTTTGTATACAAATAGCCGTGATACTTTCATGATGACATCAGTTTGTGAACACCTATAGATCTGTTCTCAACTGGTATGACAATGTGTTTCCGAAATGTAAATCAGAGAGGATATCAATCATTCAGCTGTGAGAAGTGGAGCTTGTTAAGGTATTAAGCAGGACTCACTTTGGGGAATAATTGCAGACCAGGTATGTTGTCTGTCTCCACAAGGCTCCCCAGACAACCATGTTATAACACGTTTGAACTGCACACCCAACTCTGTTCGTTGTAGCCCACACCATCTAAATAGCAATCAGAGACAGTCAAAGATGTAATTCGAAGATAAAAAATATTTTTTTGAAAAATAAGAAACTCCAGCACCCTGGTTATCTTGAATACTGCGCACACGATTGAATGCATCTCTTAGAAGCAATGTTTCGGTCAATAGATCTTCATCAGGGTCTTCGTCAGGATAAGGCTACCCCACAGATTCCCAAATCTGAAGCGCCTAGATGGCTACTGTACTTGTGTGTAATGTGTAGACATGGCTGCAGAGCATCTCATAGGACACCTGGGGTTGCAGTCACGAGGGTATGGAAACATATAATCATTGACTTCGTCATACGAAGGTTTGACCAGCTGCAGAATGGAGCGGTAACTGGAAGAAACACAACTCCAGGTGGAATAAAAAATGTTCAAAATAGTTTAACGTCCCTCTCCTTGTACTGTAATTTTTTTTTAAACTCAAGATAATGTTTACGACCACAAATAACAATAACTGTAGGGACCCTGTGTTCATAAACAGACCCAACTTTGCCACTTCAGCATGCTATTGTGGCATAGGCAATGCCACGCAGGGCTACAGGCCAGAAGGTTGAGGGTTCACAGACGAGCTCACTCTTCCTGTCTGTTTTATTGCACTACAATCAGAGCCCGTCTGCAACAATGATCAGCTAGGGATAAATCAGATTTTCTAAATTTGTATGTTATATTTATAATTATATAAAATATATGCAACACATTTTCCACCAACAGGTTTCTGTGCCAATGCACCACACAACCAATAAGCAAAGTATACCGACTTCGGGCGCTTCAAATCATGGTTTGAGTTTTCAACACCACTATCAATGGAGTGATTACAGCAAATGTTTTGTATGCTGCTGCATAAATGATGTAATATGCCATGGAGATATGTATACTGTAGCTAAGAAAGTAATACTAAGTGTATGTTGTGTAGTATGAAAATGTATGCACTCACTAACTGTAAGTCGCTCTGGATAAGAGCGTCTGCTAAATGACTAAAATGTAAATGTAAATGTAGTAAGCTGTTTGTAGCCCATGTGGCTCACCCTAATAATTTGGTCCCTTTCCCCCTCATAACTTAGCCTACTGTTTTGATTTGGTGGTGTACATTTAGCCTATAGCCAGTTTTAGAGAAATGTCATCATATTGTAAGAATATTGTAAGCGCTTTCATTGTCTGCTTATATGCCCCCTTTATTTATTACATTTATCCCACGGTTCTGACTTGGTGTACAGGGAGAATACTGTAAGAACGGCCCATGTTCTGAATTCTGTCGCTGTACATTTCAAACGTGCTGAACAAATAGTTATATTGACTACGTCCATCTCAGCTTGCTCATTAATGCCTTAATCAAAATTACAGATTGCCTCTTATCCACTTGTCGTCCCCTTATGACATAGTTTGTACATCTCAATTGTCAGTAGAAACCACATTTGTTTAAGCTAGTCACCCATATCAGCTATGTTTTTAAAAAAAGGCAGTAAATAAGGCTGAATAAACTGTTCCACTGACAGACAAGGCTCTCCTGATAGCCAAGTGTAGCGGTGGTAATGATTCACTTCATGGTGCTGAAAAGAAAGCTCTGCTGTTGGGACAGCTTTATGTAGGCCCTAACAGTTTGTGGGCACCGTTTGTCACCATTATAAGATTTCGATTTTAGTCATTTAGCAGACGCTCTTATCCAGAGCAACTTACAGTTAGTGAGTGCATACATTTTCATACTGGCCCACCGTGGGAGACGAACCCACAATCCTGACGTTGCAAGTGCCATGCTCTACCAACTGAGCTACAGGTGAGTATAATGCAACGAATTTATTGTTTAGTTTTGTGTTATGTAGTGGCTTAGCTGGCATGCATCTAAAAACAAATTGGGAGTTTGTCCCACCAAGATTGACATGCTAAAATCGCCACTGCAAACATCATTAAACTTTTTGGTGCTTTGTAACAGATGGTGGTCCTCTGTAGCTCAATTGGTAGAGCATAGCGCTTGTAACGCCAGGGTAGTGGGTTTGATCCCCGGGACCACCCATACGTAAAAATGTATGCACACATGACTGTAAGTCGCTTTGGATAAAAGCGTCTGCTAAATGGCATATTTTTATGATTCTTTCCACTCATCAAATGGCCTCTGCACAGTTTGGATGCTGGAATTATATTTAGGATGAACGTGCACAGGTAGCCTACAGGAGACTTTTGAAGTGGCCTAATCAGATTAAAACATTGTGACTGGTTGTGTTTATGCCACGTATAAAATGTAATACTTAAAAGTTAAATGACAAATATGTAGGCTATATTGAAGCGTTAGATTCTAGGTGAGCAAGGAAAATCCCCTCAGATCGGAGAGGAGGCAGAGCCGGTGTTAAGTTTTCCGTAATAACTTACTCAGTGCCTGTGTGGTCCAGTGCTTACAGCAACTGACCTCAGCACACATATGCCAGAGTCGGCATATATTCGAATCCCTCCGCATATATTGTCAATTTTTGACGCATTAATTCCCCGTGGTTAAAACAGAAATAACTCAAAGGTTAACAGTTTAGGCATTAACTCGATTAGGGTTATGGTTTAGGGAAGGCTTAAAACAAAATAAATAAAAACGACGCGCCTATGTATCATCAGTATTCATAGTATTCTTAGTGCTTGCTAGAATATTGTGAACTGCCATAGCGCAGTTGTCTAAGCAGCGCGCTCCAGCTCTGAGCCTCATGAGTTCGCAATATAGTGACCAGTCTGAGCTTACATTAGGCCCACAATTACATTACATTTATTTCAATGTTTTCTAGAAGTAAAACAAATAGTCTGATCATTTACACATCAAAGAAAAGTGTCTCAGCTCAACGAAATCGTCTTTGGATAGGCTCAAATGCAAAAACATCTTCACAGCTTTACGAAATGAAATATTATAGCCACACAATACAGGCTTTCAATCCACACCAAAGACCAGAACTATATTGACAAATTATACATAGCCTAACTATAAAACGTGGACGAGCATCCACACTGGAGGAAAGTTTATCGTTCGTCAGCAGGCCTACATCTGTCAATCAACTGATGGCCCAAATCAGCTCATCAACTCAGCTAGGGAAACACTGTAGCCTATTATCGGTTTTCCCACTTTTCATTATGTGACATTTGATAGGCTAACGGGTAGCCTACAGAATGTAGCCTATTGGAATATAATCAAATAACAAGGGGCCTATTGCAACCATCGATGGCACTAGATTATCGCCATCTGATGTCTCATTAAACCATCAATGCCTGCTAAATTCACCCGCACAGTTGATCTCAATTGCTACTGTTATTGGTCACCTCATTACCACTCCCTTAAAGCTGATGTTGGCGTTACCTTAGAACTGCTTGCAACCAAAGTCTTTCAAGATATGTTCGCCCTCTGGTTGGTATTGTAATCAGAACAATGTAGTTATTTTTGAACAGACTAAGGGCGATTTATCTATTTGACATGCATTCCGTACAATATAAATAAAGTATTTAATTGTTTACCACGGCAAATCTACTGTGGCAATATACCCAACACTTTGTATGAATGGGAATTAATGTTTGTGTAGCCTATTGTTATTTTATTTGTTTCCTATTTATGTTATCCAAAAGTGTCATTTTCTTACAAGATCAGGGGTAAAATATATTTGAAATGTGTCTCATAAATCAAGTCTATCGAGGAGATTGAGTTACTTGTGCCAGAAGGGCATGGGCCGGAATCAAACCCACACGGTAGACCTATATGTGCAGGGCCGTGCTGAAAGCAGCAGCCCTAACCGCTATCCCACCCCACACCAGGATTGAACTCAATTTTGACCAAAGCATAAACTTGACACTTGTATGTCGTAGCCTAGTGGAGACCAATATCTATCTTGTGTTATTAAGCTATATAAAACGACAGTTAATGTGTATGGCTGCATTTCAGATAAATGTTTGCGCATTTGAATGTTGCAGTAATTGGACCTAGGTTTAGCGTTTGAGTGAGCCAGATAAAAAAATATTTTGATAGCAAACCCTGATCCCAATGACTCAACTGCCCCAGCATGGACAGAAAGAAAACCCCTATTTTTCAGGGACTCACAAGGCTCATTTGAATTTCCTGATACAGCAGGAAAATACAGACACAAAAGAGTAATCAAGTTAAGACCCGACATCTGTATTCTAATGGTTTGAAAGCTCAACAAGCAAATGTGAAAGGTTTTATGATCTCTGGACAATGTGCTGGTTGATGCTCTGCAAAATGTGAGTGAACAGGTGCTGATGCTGTGGGAGGAGGACTGTGAGAATATTGTTTAGGAAAGCATGGATGGTTGGCTGCCACACACAAAGAACCAAACCTCAGCCAAAGCAAATCTGACCAGCTGGTGAAACACATCTACTGGATCTCATATACACTATCTCGACTGTGTTGAAACAAGCAGGGTCCTGTTTTGCTGTTTGCTGTAGAGCAGGGGTGTAAAACTCATTCCATAGAGGGCCTAGTGTCTGCAGTTTTTTTTTTCTTCCTTTCAATTAAGCCGGAGACAACCTGGTGTGGGGAGTTCCTTACTAATTAGTGACCTTAATTCATCAATCAAGTACAAGGGAGGAGCGAAAACCTAAAGACACTAGGCCCTCCGTGGAATGAGTTTGACACCTGTGCTGTAGAATATCAAAATGCCCCTGACATCATAGTGAACCTGGTTGTTCATAGAAGAGCAGATGTTTGCATTTACTGACTGACAACCTTTTGGTAATTTCCTGTTTTCAATCACCTCAAGCACGAGGATGAAACAATAGCAGCTCTGATTATGGAAAAACAGAGAGGAGAATTAAATAATGAATCTCCTTTTGTAAGCTAGCTGACAACTGAAAAAAATAACTATCCACAGCCCCCTCCTCAAGTACAGTTCCAAAGCCTTTCTCCAAAATCTGTTACAGTTACAGTAAATGCAGCGGCGTCATGCCCATAGGGAGCACAGGGGCACGTGTACCCTTAGATTTGTCCTTTTTGGGCCACCACGAGCCAGAACAGCTTCAATGCACCTTGGCATAGATTGTACAAGTGTCTGGAACTCTATTGGAGGGATGCGAAACTATTCTTCCACAATAACTTTTGTTGATGGTGGTAGAAAATGCTGTCTCAAGCGCCGCTCCAGAATCTCCCATAAGTGTTCAATTGGGTTGAGATCTGGTGACTGAGACCGCCATGGCATATGGCTTACATAGTTTTCATGCTCATCAAACCAATCAGTGACCTGTGGATTGGGGCATTGTCATCCAATGGGGGCATAGCCATGGTAGCCAAAATAATATATAATTTCTAT